ATTAATATCTTTTAAAAATATAAAATTAAAAAGAACTAAGATATTTAAATCATTGATAACAATAAATTTGAATGTGAAAAATTTAATAAGTTTATAATTTATAAATGTTCTTGAAAATTTATTGAAAATTTTGAAATTAAAATATTGATGTAATCTTATATGGTATATAGTTTAATCTGTATATATATTTGTTTTGTTATTGAATGATACTTTTTACTTATATGGTTTTAAAATCATGTATATCTTTTTATAATAAAAATGTTAAACTATTGATCATTAATTTTTAACATAATAATTTTAATAGTTTAGTTATTTATTCTCGTTTTTAAAAATTCAAAATATAACCTAAACTAAAAAATCTAAAGTTTAATTTTATAGCTAATTTGATTGTTTAATTTATTTTAATAATATAAAATTTAAAAAAAATTATGGAGGATATATAAACTGTTATCAAATATTTATTATTAGAATCATTAAGTGTCATATATATATATTAGTCATTTATGGTAATTCCGTAGGTTTTATTTATGGAAAGAAAATAAAATAGTAATTATATTTAGGGTAACAATCATAAATGCTTCTATCATAAATATCATATCATATCATCATATCATATAATTTGACCAACGAATGTATCTAGCGACATATAAAAATCGAATATGGACCTACTTATTTTTCAATTGAATGTAATTGACTACCTAATTGAGTGACACCTAAGCATGAGATCTTTTTTAATTATTACAAAATTGAGGTTACAATTTTTTAAATGTTTCTCTTTTAATATATAAGGGATTAGGTTATTATTCCATGCTCATGCATGAATACTTACATTTTAAATATAAACTAGATTTTGACCCGCGCTTAAAAGCGCGGAAATTTTTTATAATTAAAAATTTATATAATTGGGTTTTTGTCTTTAATTTAAAGAATGTTTTGGTATAAAATAAGTTCACCAAAATTTGTGGTGGTGATTGTTTTTCATTAATTTTTAGTTTCAATTTTTATTTTTAGATTTTGTTTTAGATTTAGAATTTTTGGGTTTTAGTTTTTAAGATTCTATTTTTGATTTTCAGCTTTTGGTTTGGGTTTTTAATTTTTAAATCCGCTGAGTTAGTTTGAATTGATATTACCAATAAACAAATCCCAAATAATCGAAAATCTAATTTAAAACTGAAAAGATAAGAAAAGCTTTTTTTTAAAAAAAATGCAATATTTTATTTTGTAAATAAACAAAAGCAAAAAATATAACCTGCGTTTTCAACTTTTGGTTTTGGATTTTAGTTTTTAGATTTAGTTTTTGGTTTTGCTTTACATATTTTTTTTAAAAAAAGCTTGAAAGCGCGGAATTTTTATGATTAAAAAATTATATAATTGGGTTTTTGTCTTAATTTAAAGAATGTTTTGGTATAAAATCAGTTCACCAAAATTTGTGGTGATGATTGTTTTTCATTAGTTTTTAGTTTCAATTTTTATTTTTAGATTTTTATTTTTTGGGTTTTAGTTTTTAAGTTTCTATTTTTGATTTCAGCTTTTGGTTTGAGTTTTTTAATTTTTAGATCCGCTGAGTTAGTTTGAAGTGATATTACCAACAAACAAATCCCAAATAATCGAAAATCTAATTTAAAACTGAAAAGATGACAAAAGATTTTTTTTTTTAAAAATTGCAATATTTTATTTTGTAAATAAAGAAAAGCAAAAAATATAACCTGCGTTTTCAACTTTTGGTTTTGGATTTTAGTTTTTAGATTTAGTTTTTGGTTTTGCTTTACATATTCTTTTAAATGAGTAAATTATTTAAGAAAAATAAAATAATATATTATTTAAAAGTTACCATTGAAATTTATCAAAAAAAGGATTGTTATTTAAAATAAAAAAGACATTATCATGTTTTTAAGTACATGATTTAAATAAATGATTAATAATAGACAATTTTGTTTTGTTAAAAATCTTAAATACCTTTTGGGCCTGAAAAATAATTGATTTTTTTTATCTATTAAGGTGGAAAGTTTATTCAATGTTTTTTGGAGTTTTTCCTTATTATTAAGCTCAAAAAATAAATCATATAATTTATTTTAAAAACAAAAGTAAGCCTAAGACTATATCCCATAAATAACCATCGGTTTAATTTAAGTAATACGGTTCAATTAACTATATGACTTGTATTATTTGTAACACTCTAGAAAGAGTCCAAATTTAAATGACAACTTGTATTAGTAGATAAAAAGAATGACTCTATTTTAATAGAGTAGATATACATTTATATTTATATATTTGTAAAAATAAATATAAACAAAGTTACAATGGATGTAATGAATATTCTCCTATATATTTCGTTTCTTGTAATACAAAATAAGGCAAACATATTATTGTGTGGGTTTTATGTTCTTATTCTATTAGTCGGTAATTCTCTCGTGCTTATGCACGGCTATAAACATTTAAATATAAATATAATATAAAAACTAATCAGCTTTTACTTTCCATTTGTTTTATAATTTATATGTACATAAAATAATATTTAGTTTTTGAATTAGACATGTGATTTTCTATATGCAATAAATAGTCGACTTAGTTATTAATTAAGTATATTGATGCATCTATTTCTTTGGACTCAACCATTATATTTTGTTTCTCTAAACATATAAATATTTTGATTTTTTTATTTTACATTTAGGTTGGTTATTCTTTTAAACATATAAATATATTTTAGTGAGATTTTTTATAATATATTATTTTTTAAGAATCAAATAGACAGAATTAATAAACTAAAGTGTTTACTTGAAGGAAGATAAAATAATATTTTTAATCTCATGCATATATATTTTACAAAATAAATAAATTGTTATATTTAATTAATATTTTATTTTTATTTAATATGTGGCGTGGTATCTATAATTTATATGTTTAAAATTAATCAAATATTACTATAAATAATAGTTTATATTTTATTATTTTTATTAATGTCATGATTATTTTTAACTTGTTTATGAAACAAATTATAAGTAAATATTCTTTTTTAAAATGTAAAAAGAAAATTATTTAGACACGAAAAATATAGTAATATCATTATTATCTTTGTTAACTTTTCTCTTTATGAAATCAAATTATATGTATATATCATTAAAATTTTCGTTTTAAAAATTGTAAATTTTTTGTTTTTATTTAGAAACGTAAAAAATATAGTAATATCATGATTATTTTTTGTTAACTTTTATCTTTTATGAAATCAAGTTATATGTATATATTATTAAAATTTTCATTTTTTTAAATCGTAAGTTTTTCCTCTTTGTTATATGTTTTATTGAAAAAAATAAATTAAACTAAAATCTTATTAACAGAAACTACCAAATAAAAAATTGTGGTTAAGTGGACTATTTTAAATTCATTAAGGGTAGCTCTGAAATCAACTATTATAACAATTAATATTAAAAATATATATACATATATTAATAATGGAAATTTTAATAATTAATTCACTTCATTAAGGGTACTAGTGTAATCAACCATCATAAGAGTTAACATGAAACGACACGTATGAAACTGACTTCTCAATTAATATTATAGAGATATATATTCCTTATACTTGTATTTTATTGTAATAAAACTAAAATAATTCTTAAAATATATATAGCGTTTCTATATAAAATTTAGATACACTTTTCAGCATACTGTATGAACGCAAACGAAAACACAGGTGGATGAATTAAAAAAATAATCGAGGCCCAGTATTATGCTCACCTTTCATAGCATGGAGAGAAAATGAGCCGCTAGGTGAGTGAGTTGTTGGCAAGCCGCTTGTGTCATACTTCAAAAACATTTAGGAATAAAGAACTGAGCTATACGAGCATTGTTACAACAGCTTGCGGCTCCTTGGACCGCAGTCTCAAGCAGACGCTGCAATTTGCTGGATCAAGATCAGGACTACATGAGTCATGACTGAACCATTGTATCTAATGTATACGATCCTTCAAAACTATGCATCTTACTTTTGGCTAGGCAAATTATAGTATTATTTTCGGGTGATTGTTAAGGCGATATTCTTGTATAAGATAATATTAATCTTTATTGTTTCTTCAATATTTAAACCAGATGAAACCATGAAAACTCTGAAGTTGATGCTTTTGTTTTGAAAGACTCAGTCTTACAATTAAGAAGGCATATATTGATGCAGAGAAAAGTGTGAGGATATTATTAAGAGTATCGAATGTCAAACTTTTTTCAGATAACTTAGAATACAAGTATGTTGGTTCCTATTAATTACACAAGAAAATAGCACATCACACGTCACATAAATTCGTGGAATACAAATATAAACAAAACTTAATAATCATTGAATAGGATCATAGACCCGCAAGTGCTAACAACGAAGTTGTCATGGCTGTTATGAATATCCTCACATATATTTCGTTTCCTGTAATACAAAATAAACATATTAATGTTTGGGTTTTATTTGCTTATTCTATTATCTTCCATTCTTCCTGATAGTTGAATTTTATTAGGATAAAATCAAAATAAACTATATCATTTATAAAAGAAGAAAAGATAAAGATTTCTATCTAAAATCTAAATATACACTATTTCAGCAAAATAAATACACTATTTACCTTTCATAGCATGAACAGAGAATGAGCCGCTGGGTGACTGAGTTATTGGCAAACCGCTTGTGTCATACCTCAAAAAACATTTAGGAATATAGAACTGAGCTATGCGAGCATTGTTACAACAGCTTGACACTCCTTGCACCGCAAGTCTCAAGCAGACGCTGCAATTTGCTGGATCAAGATCAGGACTACACTGAACCATTGTGTCTAATGTATATGATCCATCATATTCATTCACTCTGTTTCTGTCCCTGACGTAATACGGCGTCAAAGAAGACAAAGAAGACTGAGATGTTGCGAGGATAATTAGCTGCTCTACCTTATCTGATAGAGTTCGTTGGAAAGGATTGAACAAGGAATCAGGAAAAGAGGAGACAGAGAATCTAGAGGACCAAGGCCCATTTTCGACGAGACCGAAGAAGGAAACGCTAGAGTATCGAACCATACACTCCTCGTAGTATACTATAGCATCTTTTATATTAGTGCAGTTGTTTTTAGTGATTTCTAGGGTTGCAGTGTTCACACAGTTCGAACAAGATTGTTTTGTGATGTCTCCTCTACAGAGGAACATGCCATGAACTGTGTCGGGGCTAAGACCGACTGTTGCGTTGTAATAGGTTCCGAGAGAGGAACGGTCACGGAGAGATGAGAGGAGGGTTTCACGGTTTGAATTGTATTGGCTGGTTTGTGTGAAGTTTATGGATAATTTGTCGCAGAAAGTGTGCATGTGTTGAGGTTGAGACATGATTTGGTGAGATAATAAAGAGACAAAGAAGTAAAACAAAAAAGCAGAGAATCTGATGAAATTTTCCATTTTCTTGTTCTTTCTTGTTTATGAAGATAGCTTAAAAGAGAGGAGTAAAGCTAGCGATATATATAGAGAAAGACCTTGTTTTAGTTTAACTAAATTCAAATAAATAACTTCCTATACCAGTTCAGAGGGGGAAATATATAATAATTATTTTACCAGGTGGAATCGTCAGATGGTTTCATCAATAAGAGTTGAATCCAAATTTTTTAACATAGAAGAACATTATCCTTTTTTCATCATCTTTTATTACTTGTTCTTTAAACCATTTATTAAAGTAAGATGAGATCAAAAAGTTGACAAAATATTTACCTTTGTTTGCGTATGAATTGAAACATAGACTTGTCCTAAACGGTTTCAGAAAAGAAGATCTGACGCAAAAAAAAATAAGGCTCAAGAAATAATCAAGAGCGAGCGGCGAGACAGTTTTATCCAACAAAAATTTTCAAAAAAACTGCAAGAAAATAAATAATTTAACTTTTCAAAAATGCCACTTGTCATTCACAAAATTGTCAATTGACTTGTGTTTTATAGTATAAAAGATATTTTTTATTTTTTCATATGTTTATCCTCCCTTTTATATATGTCAGCTTGAGATCTCTAAAAGACCATGGTTTAATCCTCCCTTTTATGTTAACCTAGTTAAAAATAAAATTCGGCCATAATATGATTCATGTAATAACATATATTAGTTTATATTATTCATGTAATAACATATATTTCACCTCTTTTTGAAGAAATGAACTTGAACTCATCAATTTTAAATTAAATATATATATGGGTCAATTTTTTATATATAAACTTATTTATATGGCTCATTTTTCAGTATAAGAAATATAAAAGGGTATATAACATAAAATAGTGTTGGTGAAAATACTTGCAACGTACGCAAATATATGGCGCTCAAACTGAGGGAAACGTTTTGTTTGCGTCTTATTTCTGAACGTTTTTCATTCCCTGAATGTAAGCCTTTTTAAACCCAAGAACAATGCAACATTTCACGGTCTTATTAGTACTAATTTACTACGTTTATGAAAGAAAATAATCAGACATTGTACCAAAAAAACTTAAACCTTATCGTCGTTTCCTTCCGTTCTATGAAGTGTCTTCCTGCAACGAAACCAATCCTCAAGATCACAGAGTAAGACTGAAACTGAGAGAGAGATAGAAACCACTATGGTTGAACGTCCGGAGGATTTTGTGGTGGTGATGGTGGTGGAGCAATCCTACCATGCTCAAATCGGAAATAGAGTGTCCCCTGTTCATCTTGAATTCGTCTCCAACCAATAACTGCGCAGCAGTTCACGCAAGACACTTCATAGCCGTAGTATAGATCGTTGCCGTAAGGAACCACGTCTTCTCCGACCATAACATTGTACCTGACAGAATATATAGTTCTTAGCTTAACAATTTCTCGAGAAAAGTGTCACTTGTCGAATTGAAAAACTTACACTTGATGAAACTCAAAAAAGTTGTAAAAGTTGTCCAAGAGATGAGCACTTAATGCAATTTGGGCATTACACGTCCTACATGTAAACGCAGGTTCTTCTTTCTCCAGCAAGAAAACCCTTCCCATACTGAAAATTCAGAAAATAATCAAATTCATTAAATTAGTAGTAAGAAAAAAAAACAATGCATCAAACTGACAAATAGGAATATTAATGGCAAGAAAACAGTTAAAATAGACTCCATTATATATATACCAGAACAAAATCTTGATGGAGTATATCTGAGGATATACAGAAGTGAAGATGATCATGCTGAACATATGGAAGAAAAATCGAGAAATTACTCAAGAATGCGAAAAAAAAATTTTGATTCATCAGTTGCAAGCAGAATGATCACCAATGCTGTGATGTTGAAATGAACCTCTTTGTTTATATTAGAAAAAGATAAATGATTTAGTTTGAACTTTTTCTTAAACATTTCTTCTTGGATTAAAGTTAGGTTTTAAATTTCTTTTTCTATTGAACAATATACCTATTGCAAAAACAAAACATTCTAACCTACAAAAACCTAATTATCATAAAACCGAATTCATAAAGTAAAACATCAAAGGTCATGAGCTAAAAAACACCAATACTCATTAACTAAAACACCAAATTGTGTCTTTCTCCAATATCATAGCTTAGAACATCTCAAGTAACATATTGATTCTTGATGTCATGAGATCAAACTCTACCGTTCAAGCTAGATAGCGATTTCACAGGATCATCATCTCACATCGGACTGGAAGAGAAAAAAACAATAGAGCATGCAATGATGGAAACGACTGTTGCAATGCAATTGGTGGTACATGAGCAGAGACCAACGCAATGGTAAAGAAATTTCCCGAGAAAGAGGAAATACTGACAATGAGCAAGTGACACTGAAAGAATTGTATTATCAAAGACGATCACTTCAAAACAAGACATGTCCTTGATGGTAATTTCAGAACTGGAGTAAACTAACAAGTAACAACAATGCGTAGGAGATAAATATATGACTTGATAAGGGTTTACAAAGAGAAGACGACTAGTGAAACTTGTGAAAAATTCATGTAAACTGTTAGAGGCATATCAAAGGTGAGGACAAGATCTTGGTCGAAGAAAGATGTAATGATCTATGAGTATGGTTAGTGTGGTTTATACAAAGTTAGTGTTTTATTTAAAAGAGTTTGAGTGTTTTATGTATTAATTAGGTTTTCCTATTTTCTTTTCGATCTTACAATATATATTTTAGCATTAGAGTTATGAATAAGTTGTAATAGACCTTACAAGGATCTCTGTAAATAACAGGAAAGAAACTTCTAAGAATACAGAATAGTCTGCAAGAGAGACTATGGTTAAAAAGAATGTTAGCATAAATATAATATATCTTTTGTGTGAACAAATGTTAATATTACATTACATGCATGAAATCCTAAACATAATCAAGAAACTACAGAAAAACTAAGTCACCCTAACTCCCCAATGTATAAAAGGTACCAAAACCACAGATACTACTAAAGACGATAACACTTCGATCAGTAAGATACTTGCTTACTTAGCGAGACAATAGGAGGATGTAGCCGAAAGAAAGTCATGAGTAAAATCAAGCAAATGTAGTTCAATATTTGAAAAAAAAAAATGCACGGGATAGAGAATTTAGAAGTGAGGAAAATAACAATCTCAAAGATCATTGGATCTTTACCTAGAAGAAGAAACGTCACTCACTGACCAGAGTAAGAGTTTTAAATATTTCCCGGGATTTACATCTATAAGAAATAAGAAATAGTGATTATAAATTAGTCACTAAACCTTGGCCCATGAGTGCATTTTAAGTTAATCTTTTAGATAATTTCGCAAATACCCAAAGCCCACTTTAAATGAGCTTATTCTGAGAAGTTATGATTCTTATATAGAAATTGATTGCTGAATCAAGTATTAAATAGAATTTTGTTTTTGGTCAACGTTCAAACATAAAAAAAAAAAACGTACTTGTTTTGGTTAAACGTTATCCCTAGAACTTTAGCATATATAAACGCATGTTGAGATCAATGGAAACACACACAAAATTTTTACAAGTCTTTATTTATTTGCAAGTTAAAGCCTTTGGAGATCTAAAGTGAAAGAAACATGAAAAGCTCATTCACCTTCACCATCTTCTTTTTTGTTCTTCTCCTTACCTCTTGTTAGTCATCTCCTGATATAAATCTATCATTTATGTTCTGTTTAATTAGCAATTGATTAATGAATTTTTGGTGTGTTTATCTTATAGGTGTGGTGATGAGTGCAAGGATGCAAGAAATAAGCACAAACGATAGATTGATACCTATAACATGCAACACCGATCAAGATTGTACTAAGTATTGCAAGGGTCCCATTCACAAGTGCAAATATCATACTTGTGCATGCGTACCCGGAAACCCTCGTTGTTGCTAGAAACATACCCTTCACATAATCTTTTTTTTTTTTGTAAAAGGGCTTCCCTTCACATAATCTTAAACGTTTGGTTTAGAACTTTGATTATCTTTTGCATTGGAGTTTTTACCCCACAATAAATAAAATTATGTTTATTTTCCTGTTGACATTGTTTTGATTCTTAACCAATGGTCTAGTCGCTGTGTTTGTGTGATTGCATTGGCTAGAACGCAAAAATGCTACATAACTAAACCGGAAATAGATATTATCGGTTTACCGTCATTAGATAGATGTTAATATGTTATCTATTATATTAAAAGAGAAGTCATAACTCACTTCATCTATGATATTTTAGTTTGGACCATCTTTAGAGTTTTATAAAATTTTACATAATATTATAATATTTTTTTCATATCTTTAATTTTTGTTTGAAATACAAATAAATAGTTTTAAGAAAATTCTAAGAAAATCTTTTAGAATATTTTATAAAATATAGTTTCAAAAATTATTTGATTAAAATTTTAATTAGCATAAAATATAATTAAAATTTTAATTCATTTTTAATTTATAAACAAAAAATTAAAATGATGTAAAATACTTTTAACAATATCCCAAAATTTTGTTTATGTATTATGTAGGTCCAAACTTAATTAATGTTTACATAGATTTCAAATTTAGAAATAAAACAAAATATATAAATTAGTAATCTTACATAATAATGTTTTTAAAAATTGTTACAAAAATACAAATTTATAAATTTTATATTAATAATATTATAAGTCACATAAAAATGATTATAAAATTGGATAGCATACATAATCAAATTATACTTATTTATTGATAAATTTTATTATATAATTTCAAATATTTTCCTATTAAAATATCCACACGGTATTTTGTGAAATACAGAAATCTAGTGTATATATTAAAAAGAAAATCTAAACTGGTCAAATTAAATCTCAGCAGCATACGATATTTTGTGATATATTTTCTATGTATATAGTTTTATTTTCATCACAAAATATTACTGTTTAAAATTTTAAAACAAAAGTATATTTAAAACATTGAATAAAAATTTTAAAAAAGTAAAAAAATAATTTGTCCTTGACCCCCAACCATGTTAAGCCGGCCCTGTGAACATGGCTGCATAGTTTTACTGTGTACATATATAGGAAGGAGGACCAAGAGATTTTTTTCTGATATGTATTAAAACCGTGTCTCTAACCCTTGTCAGTTTTGATTTGTTTCCTTTTTTGGATCCCTGATTTAAGAAACCGTGAGACTCTAACCCTTGTCATTTCCGACAATACAATTAGAAAACAGACCGAAGTATGGTGTCTGTCTCACACCTAATACAAAAAAAAAAAAAAGAGTAAGCCTTCAACATTCAGCAACAGTGTAGTTTACAAATTCTACATAAGATCAAAATCCACAAAATTGGAAGTTAGATTCTGACACTTTTTATTCAAGGGTCCATAGCTCAGTGGTGGAGCATTCGACTGCAGAGGAAAGACTATATGCTGGTTCGAACCCGGTTGGGCCTTTTTTAAGTTTGTTGTTTTACATTTCTTTTCCAAATTTCAACTCATGACTTTATCATCTGAATGTAGAAGACTATTTAGCTTCTTATGATGGTATAAAGTTTATATGCTTTAGGCGGCCGCGTTTTAGAACCAGGGTATAAACTATATGCTTATGTGTTGTGGGAACAGCTCTGATTAACTGATATGCAAAATTCAAAAGATCATCAAAAGTCAAAATACAAAGTGCTCTCTTTACATATTATTACAAAACATTGATTACAAATCATGCAACCCATCAAAGAAAAATCCACAATCACACCATTCCCAATCTATAATCAAATCTCCATCAAAGATTCAACAATATGCAATTTTTTCTTCTGTATAACACAGTGAAATGTCATGCAAGTTGAAAACAAAACGAGACCAAATGAATAATGCTTCAAGTATCTGGAAAGAAAAAAACGAAAAAGGTAAAAGGGAACTAGAGCGGAACCCAATGGTGATGATAACTGTTGAATAGCTTATCTACTTATGAGGATGATGGTGAGTTTTGACTTCGGTTAATGTAAGAAGATAGACAAACAATTTTCCACTTTATGTGTTTGTTTCCATCATCATAGGGCGTTTCTTTTGCTCTCGAGCATTGATCCGTCTTTAAGAGCAGCGTGAGCTTCGTTCTCTTGTCCTAGAGCTGAGAGAGCTACAGCTTGAAGATAAGATGCAATGTGCCAAGCAGGAGATATCACTTGAGCTTGCATTGCATCATTAAGTGCCTCTTGTGGCATCTCGTTCATCAGGTAACACAGACTTCTCCTTGCATACACAGTTGGTGAAACCATTGTCCCACCCTCTATGAACTGTCAAAACAACACTTCTTTGGATCAAAAATTGTATCTGATTTGCCTGAAAACCTCAAACAATCAAAGAAGTAAAGGTTAACCTGAGAGTAACATTCAGCAGCATTTGCAAAGTTTTTGTGCCGGAATGCAACATCACCCTTTTTCTTGAAGTTGAGCGAGTCCTGCATCTGGTTGGTCCACATCTGGAATGAAAGCTGAACATTTTGCAGTAACAAACAAGCCAAAAAAGTGATCAGATTACAACCCTGCCAAGGACTTGCAATGAGACAATTACGAGAATAATTAAGAAAGAAAGGAACCTCTGTGGCAGCTCCCTCATCATCTTTATACCCAAGTTTTTCAAGAATCTCATGTATAGCAGTTAGATCAGTTCTTAGGCATGCATCTCCAAGTGGTGAAAGAGGTGTTGTTGAGGCACTGCTTGGTATTCCCATGAGTTGATGTGAAGGAGTCTTTACATGATTTTAACCAACTTCTTATTAGTCTCAGAAATAGTATTTTTCAAAATGCAAAAGATTTGAAGGACAGTACCTCAAGATCCTTCTGAAGAGGGATCATTGCAGTGACTAGAGATTTTGGGTTAGGACGTTCTCGAGGCTCATCCTGCAAGCATCTAGAAGCTAACCGTATTAGTTCAGTCCCGTCACTATTTGAAAACTGACCCTCTAAGCATGAATCCATCAACATTTGGATGTTCCTGTCCCTTATGAGGTCCAGCGCCTACAAATACACAGAACAAGTAAACTTTTACTTACAAAGATACACACACTGTTCTCTGAAAAGATCTAACATATATTCAGAAATGATGACTGATTTAGTATCTTAACCATAAGCTTACATGGCTAGGAGGAATGTGTTTTCCACTCAGAAGATCAAGCAACAGAGTTCCATAACTGTACATCACACTTTCTGGTGTCACGCGACCTGTAGAAACAAACACACACAAAAACTATTATGTCAGGAAGAAATTGTTTAAGTATAAAACGAGCTGATATGCAAGTGTTTAAGTATTTATACCTGTTCTGAGATACTCAGGAGGAGTGAAAGCCAGGTTAGTACTATAACTCTTACCATCTCTACTGTTTTTCATCAGACCAAAGCAAGAAAGCCTTGGATTCGAGTCCTATAACAAAGAAAGACACCCATATGATGAATCTTACATACACATCATCAAGGACAGAAATAAAAAAAAAAAACCTTAAAACTTACATCATCAAAGAGAACTCTATAAGCATTAAGGTCATGGTAGAGTGCACGCCCTTTGGCAGTACAGTACTCCAAAGCTTGAGCAATATGTAAAGCTACTCTTAGTCTCATTGCCCACTTCATCGGCTGTGACTCCCCTGAAACATATTAATAACTTTTTGTATTGAGAGACAAGCTTGATGTAACCAACCATAAACCAAAGAAGAGAGATCATTCTTACAGTGGAAAAGATGCTTAGCCAAAGTTTCATTAGGCATAAACTCAGCAACGAGAAGTCTCTCTTCACCTTCATAACAACATCCAAGCAGATTTGCCATCCTATAGTTTCTTAACTGCCCAACAGCTTTAGCTTCCTCCTATTGAAAAAAAAAAGAAACCATATATTCAAAACCCAACAACCAAGATTGCTAAAAAGTAAGAGCTTTAAGATCATTACCAGAAACTGACGAGAATCAGGCCAAGCTTTCCTGTTAAACCTTTTAACAGCAATACGTTTTTGATTATCCAACTTCCCTTTGTAGACAACATTAGGAGCTTTCTCACCATGTTCTGATACTATATTCTCTGCAGCAAAACCTGATGTAGCGTTCCTTAGCGTCTCTATAGAGAATTCACGGAACTGAGGCAGATCATTATTCCCTTCACCAATCCTATCATTAACACCTTAGAGAAAGAAAAAAAACAAATCAACAATTAGTAACAGCAAGAAAAGACTAGTCGATCATAGCGTACCTGAGGATGTGAGACCAAGATTGGATCTTTCAGGCTCTGAACCTGAACAGAACTTGGAAACGCCACAACCCATTTCTCAGTATTATTTCAGACAAAAGACCATAAACAAAGTCTGTTTTGTTTGATTTTATCTCAATCTGAGACTTTGACCAGTTCAAAACCGCGTTGAATTTCTTCAGAGTTTCGGACAAAACAAAACAAAACAGATCAGACAAAACAGAGTTTAATTGTTAATGTTCTTTAACTTACGAAACGGTACTTAAAAAGGGTCAAACTTTGAGGAAACGATCTAGAAGAAGAAGAAGAAGAATAAAGGTGAAAAAAGGTTGGAATGAGGAATCGAGCCGCTCGTGTGTAAGTGCTTAGCTCGAGAGAGAGAGAGAGAGAGAAAGCTCAAGAACCGAAAAGCAGAGAACTACTTTGCCAGAAAGGATAAAAATTATAACTTTTTTTTGTGTGTTTTGGGATTATTAGTGTAGACAAGAGGGAGAAGAGAAAAGAAAAAGGAGAGAAACAGCAAAGCCTTAACAAGTCAACTCACTAGTGGGTCAAATAAAAACTAAGCAACAACTCATCTTTGCTATCATTCACTAACAACCATCTATTTTTCCAGTTAACAAAAGACAATATAGTATACTATTTTTTTATATATATTGGGGAAATTCTACTTATACATCTCTTTTGATATTATTATTTGTTTACCTTCCCTATATAGATATTTTCAAAAATACATAAATATTATGAGTTTTTATTAAGGAAGCAAAAGACACTTCTCCGTTAATTTATACATATAAATATAAATAGTTGTTTAAATAAATAAAAAATTATCTTTTATAGTTTTCGAATTATACATTTTCAACTTCAAATTTTTTCTATTTTCTGAATTTTCTTCAAAAAAATTTTGTTGTTATTTTTTCAAATTTTCTTTTAAAATTTGAAAATATTTTAAAAAATATTTTTTAAAAAAAATTGACTATGAATTCATTTATTTATTAAAATCCTTAACTCCATTCATAAAAATCTCACTCCTCAAATCTAAATTATAATTTTTTATTTATCTCTTTAAAACTAAAGATAAATATGATTAAGGTAAACATGAAAAGCGGTACTATGAATATTGTAGTTTAAGTAATTTCATTTTAATATTTTATATTTTTTTCTACAAATATTTCTATTTCTAAAATATCATTTTTAGAAGTTTAAAATGCGATTTTTTTCCTTTTTTTGGTTCAAAACATGTAAATTTCATGGTTGTCAAAATATAAATATTTGTAGTAAAAATAATAGGAAAATCGCATTTAAACTTCTAAATGGGATAGTTTAAAAAATATAAAAACCAACAAGAAGACTGTTAAAATATGACATGATAAATTTGATTTGCATGTAAATTTAGGCTATGCTCGTTTTTATGCTAGATGATGCATCTAAATACAAATATTCAGATGTTATTTGTTTTGATACAACTGTTTTCTATGTTGCATGTGCACACAAAATCTACAATATCTAAAAAAAACTACATATTTGAGATGTCAAAATGTAAAAGTTGAATACAATAGCTGCTTTTTAAATTTAAAACTTAAATATCCTTCAATATAAGTATATTAATTATTATTATTACTAGGTGATTTTCCCGTGCTCATGCAGGCTTAAATATTTAAGAAATAAATATATTATAATAGTTGATTGATATTTACTTTAAATTTTATATTAATTTATAGTTTGTATGTATAATTTGTATTAATAATATTATATATTTTAGTTATTATAATTTTATATATATTATATTTAGTCATTATCGTTTGGATATATATATATATATATATATATATATATATATATATATTGGATTCTTTCTATTCTATGAATTCAACTATAGTATTTTTTATTCTAAATATCTTAAATTTTTGATTAAATATTTTATTTACATTTATGTTGGTTGTTATCTACGAAATATAAGTATATCTTAGTAAGATTATGTATTTTAAGATTTTTTGTGCTTAGAACGAAAAAAATAAAAACGAAAGTGTCTGATTCTAAATTACATAAGTAATAATAAATTTTTGAAAGCTTATGAACACATATTAATATTTACAATAATTAAAATATTTTATAAACTCTAAATAATTTATGCCATAGATTGATTGGATGATAAACTGAAGTTTTTTTTAAATAATTTTAAAACTAAGGAATTCTGATTTGCTTTAAGTATTAGATTATGGTTATATTAAATTCCACAAACATAAAAACAGAAAATTAAACATCAAAAGAGTTATTAAGAAAACAGATAATTTTAACTATTAATTATAATATATCTACCTTGTTAAATTATAGTGTTATGATATATTAAAAGAATTGTAGTTATTTGATCAAAAGATGTTTAT